GCCATTGCTAGTAGGTTTGAGGCCATTGCTAGTAGGTTGGAGGCCATCGCTAGTAGGTTTGAGGCGATTGCTAGTAGGTTTGAGGCCATTGCTATTAGGTATTGCTTTCAGGTTGCTAATCCATTCTTTGATTCGCCCTTTTTTGTGCCCGCGCGGCGTCGCAAAACCTCTTGCCGAGGCGATGCCGCGGTGACGCGCACGGAGCGGCTGCGGGAGCTACGGCAGGAGCTCTCGCAGGTGGCGCAGCAGGTTGGAGCACCGTGGCGCTGAAAAGCGACATCACAGCGATGGCAGGGCAGTGTTTGGAGCTGTGACTGCAGCAGTGCATAACCATGTGCAACCTTGAGTGGAAGGATTTTCGGTTTCTCAGGGGCATAACCGCAGAGATGCCCGCAATGCCCTATGGTCCAAGGTTGGCTTATACAAATAATGCTCAGCATGGCTTTCTGAGGTGGGGTCGGGTGGCCAGACTGTCTCAGCCGAGGCCAAGTATGGGCGACAAGCCTGGGATGCTTGGAGTGGACGGCACCGTTGGGAGCGGTGCCCAACGGGCCAAGGGCAGGAAGTGACAACATGTGAAAAACAACCAGAATCCCGGGATGAAAAAGAACAAGATAATTCAGGAAGGTGTTTGTTTTGGGGTGTGATCCTGTAAGTCTGAGCAACATGATGTTCACTTGAAGCAGTCCATTCTTCGGGACTGCGGTTTGCAATGCACGCCTAACGCCTACAATGATACATTGGCACACATCAGCAATACCTCAGCATCCATCATAGAAAATCTCCAAGTGTATGGCGATGCAAATGAAAATGACATTACAGTATCCTTTGATGTGCCAGTCATTCCGGAGACTCTTGGGCAATTGGATCAGACGGTTCTTACTGTTTGTCCGCCAGCGAAAGCCAGATCCGAGGATTACAACGCGAAAGCCCTGGAAGCTCATTCCAATACCAACCCTTGGGCGCTCCTTGACCAGAATATGGAAGCAGTATGAAGCAGCGATGTTCGTACCTTTGGGCTAGGGGCTTGGGGGGGTTGATCTTCGGGTTGGACTTGAAGGCCCTTGACCTTTGCAATGGCACATTGGGTCGAGCTTGCCCCCCACACCTGTTGGGCAGAGAGTGGAGAGTGGGTCAGATTCGATGCCTCGAGGGTGCTGGTTCCCATCGTGGAGAAGGAAATGATGAATCTTGGAGATGCTTGGAGAAGGAACGAGTCTTGAAGTAGTGAACAACTGCACCGCAATGAGATGATACCAGATGGATTACAGCATATTTTATTGCCAAACCAGTTTCCTTGATTGAGACTGCCGCGCGACCGGTTTCCAAGGAGAGCGGGCGCTTCTTCCTGTCACGTCAGGATGCAGCCAATCTCCAAGATTTGCGTCCTGGCAAAAAGAAGGAACCCCTCCACATGTCGTTTTGGCCTCGAAATCGACGAGCTTCGCTTCATGTGTGCAGAACCAAGGAGGGTTTGATGACGAGCTTCCTTGAAACGGGGGGGACGTGTTCCGATGTTTTTGTCTACGACTTCTGAGAGTCCTGGTGAGATCTGGTGAGTAGTATCTTTTGGTCACCAAGGTTTGCTGCATCCACCACAAATTACATGTGGAAGTTTAGGCAAGACTCACCTGATCATGCTTTGCAACCTCTAGCTTTGATCTCACCTTACAGTGGGTTCTTGAGTCATAGAAATGACATGTTGGCAAACATGGATGCATCTTAAATGTATCACAAACGGTCACAAACGGTCACACCATGATCCGACCTTGGAACCTGAAATACCACTTGATCCACCGCCCCGGTTGGCGTCAGGAACCGCTTGATGCGAACGGTGAAGTCACAGATGGCCGTGGAGACCTCCAAGAGTCGAAGCCACTTCGATGATGAGCCTCGGTGGGACATTGTAAACGGCACTCCTCTTGCATGTTAAGAGAACAACTGCAAGCTACCTACCCACTGTCCCTACCCAACCTTCAACCTACCCAACCCTACCAAGGGTTTCACAACTGCAAGCTGCCCGACATACATGCAACTAATATACACCAGGAACCTCATAGTATACATTTAAGGGGGTCCATAGTTCAACTGTGGACTGTGAGCCACAGAAACATCCTCAACCAAAAGCATCATCCGAGACATGATTACGACTGGGAATTGGCCCGCCAGGCCTCGCTCAGCTTCTAGGTCTTTGCACTCTGAATGACACGCACGTTTTTTCGGCATGTGTTGTATGTGGGGTAGTGCCCTCAAAAAGCTTGCACAGACACCTTGCATCCAGTAGTGTACGATCTTACATAGTAACCCCCTAGGAAGTAATCAACCGAGGGAGAAGGAATAGAGTCAACCCACCAAAGCTATTTAGGGTGGTAGTAGATCTCAAAGACCCTGCACGAGAAAAAGGACTAAACAACTTATGTTTATTCTTCCCCGCTAAACTATTCAGGGTGTGGAAATAACTTTGCCATGACTTTGTACTCTTTCCTCCCACACTCCCGCACTATTGACTCGGCATTTGCCAATCCAAAGTCTACCACCACGACAATCTCGCCCCATCTCGGCACGAACCTTCGGCAGCCAAGCACTGAAGGGAACGACAGAACCATACAGAACCCAAGTAAAAACAACGCATTGGTATGCATTGGTCGTACTCTTGCGAGCAAGCCTGTACTTGTTATTACGTCCTGTACACAGTTTTTGCCTTGTTGTATGGTTGCTGGAATTTGAAGTGAGACCTTTCGTGACAGAAGGTCACCCGCCCTATGAGGTCCTCGTTCATCCCGCATCCGCATGTGCAGTTGGCATCTTTCATGTTCACAGCTATTTGCTATCTCATGCTTGAATGCAGAAAGCCCGGACAGCAGTACTGTGAATGAATGCCAGCTCGTCATAGTCAGTAATAAAACTGTGAAAAAATATTGCCAGCCAGAGATGCAGGGTGCTGCAGAATGTATGGTTTCTATTTGCGTATCATTCAGCAGCCTTGGCAGAAGCACCTGGAGCCACGCCTTCTTTATGGACCATCGCCAAAAGAAAAAAGAACAAGAATCAGTGAAGGAAAGTTTGGGAAACGATCTCTGTGAGAACAACAATGATGCGGTACCGCTTGCTCTGGGTTGTAATTGAATATAGCAGGGATCATAGAGTGGTATGGTGATGTATGGTGACGGCTCGAAAGCTTGATTATCCGAAAACTAGAGACACGTCCTCATAGTCAAATATAATAAGGCAATGACTCCAAACAATGGTTTTTATGCCGCAGATACACCAAAGAAACGCTAAGGAAGTTCTATATATACTTGTATTAAAAGGAACATGCAGCATCGTGTTGTTATATTTTTATATTTGGCTTTGCAGTGATTTATTTGTGTTTAGCGTGCCCACCCTACCCTATACCCTATACGCGGCCGCCCTGCCCTGCCCTTGTTGATTCGTTTTGTTGCATGCTCGGTTCCTGTCCCACCTACCTATTTTGACTGAGGATTTGTTTTGTTGATCATTGTTTTTGATCCTCAGAATGTTGATGTGTGTGTGTGTTTTGCTTGGTTCGTTTTGCTTTGGATATTGGCATCATGTCAGTGATGTATCCCTTTGCCCCAGCCTGAGGATGAAGAGAGATGGTCCTTCATTTCTGAGCCTTGATTGCAGCTGTAGGAATTGGAACTTTAGCCGACTCCCTGCACGGGAAGTGCTTAAAACTGATGGCACACGGCAGTAGTAATTAGTGTCGTGGATGGACGAGAAGTGGCTTTGGGCAATGGCAGCCGCAAAGATGTTGTAGATCGTCACGGTAGCCAAATACCAGCAGGCTACATAACATGGAGCTCCATTCAACCAGTTTGGTGTCCATGCGGGGTGCTTGTCTTTTTTTTGATAGGGAACTGAGTGTGAGAGCTGCTATGGACCCGGGATGTTCTACTCCAACATCTCTCAAGCTTGAGATCTCTCAGACAAACATTAGATTTAGATTCCTACCAAATCCTTTAAATATAGTCCTGTATCGTTTTGTAGCTTCAGTAGGGCAGAGTCCTTTGATCAGGAAGCGTCGGCTTCGGCATGCTTCGGCGGCCGCTGCATTTCGTTCGAAACAGGAAATCCATATTCGTGCGTTGATCGAACAGCTCCGGCAAATGCATCAGACACTACAAGATCGCACCTTGGACGTGCAGTGCGGACGACGCATGGTGGACACGTTTAGACGCCAGACGTGGGACCGTGGGACCTTCGAAGCAACAGCGTCCGTTGCTTTGGTGCTTAGCATGGACATAAGACGGTAATGCTTCGGTCTTTTGGATGTTCACAATGTTCCAAGCGTCCAGGACGGTGGGAGGACGATGGGAGGACGGTGACGCTGGAGCTGGCCCCCCCACCTTTACATCAGGGCACTGGGACAATGGTGCAAACATGTGCTGAAGCATGTTCTTCTAAACGAGTGAGACATTCCTCCATGTTGAGAGTCCCCCAAGTCCATGACACACCAACATATGTGCATTGCTGGCGGAATCCGCAGGAGTGAGTTCCGGAATCCGTAGGAGTGAGTGTCTATCTCAATCACCCAATCTCATTCACAAAAGCTGCATTGTAGCTTTCTGACACTGGGACGGCACAGCATGCATCTTCGTCCCGTGTTGAGGAATCGGTGGACTTCGATCAAAACACTCCATCCACCGATTTCACCGATCGAACAGGTGAGATATGATTTCAGGTCACTTCCGACGAAAAAATCGAAAACCGAGCTTCTTGTGAAGGCCTGAACCGGCGGTTTTCTGAGGCAAAAACAAGGCGGCCAGGTTGGACATTCGAGCGGAGCTCACCCAGGACGTGGTGGGTGGAGCTTCGACGTTGAGCTGCGGCGCATGATTCGACGAGTGTGTGGAGTGTTCTGCAAGGATGGTGTAAGCTGTTCGATCCAGTGCAAATGATTGTTATTTGATGTTTTTTTGATGTTCGGTTTGTAGATTGATTTTGCTGGAGGTAGAGACGGGCATGATCCAGGAAGACTCAGCAATCATACCCTCGCACTCCCCAATTTGCAAGCATGTTAGCATGTATTTTTTAAATTGGAGTTCAGAGTTAGAGAGAAAACATTTTTGTTGTATGAAGTGTAGCTAACAGCACGCACCCGGCGTTTGTTGGACAGCAGGAGTTGGCTCAGTTGCATCCCGAGCTGCGATCCAGCTATGGCTTGGCACAGAAACGGCCACCACCCAAGAAGCCTGCAAAGGACGCCGTGGGATTTGGACCCCGGGATGGATGCCTCACCGTTTTCGTTGTCTGGGTGTGGTTGCTCGCGACCTGCTTCCGCGAGACCGTTGGCGCATTTTTTTTGCTTCAGGAAGCCAGAGTGGATGTGCTGCCTTTGTGCTGCAGGGTGCTGTTGGACGACCCCTCCCAGGTTCTTGAAGCTGGTATATAACTGGTTTGTCGTTCTGGGTCGTTCTGGTCTTCCACTGGGAGCACACCTAGGCAATGGCTTTGTCAACTATGTTGTTATTGTTCCGAATAGATCTGAAGACAACCATCAACTTCCCCCCCTGCTATGTGGATCTATTATAGGCACGGTTGCAGCAGACAATATACACAAGTAAAGCTGAAAAAGCGATAGTGTACTCACCAAAAACAATAACATACGCAATCTGAAAAAAAAGAAAACAACATAAACAACTATAGCACACTCACCAAATCGTGACGTCCTTTGATTTAGTAGTAAATATTGACCGTCGCTCATATAGTCTAGCAGTGTTTTGTATGCTTCTTCGCCCCACAAATCATGTGAAGCTTCCAGGAGGAAGTTGAGCAAGAGGAGGACGAGGAAGATCGGACAGATTCTTTCAAGGTCGCTTTGATTCAGAAGATACGTCTCATCAGATGCGCAGAACTGCGTACTAAGTAGGATAGATGGTTTGAAAGAAGAAGAGTTGCTCAGACGTGTCGGAGCACTGGTGCTACAAAGCGAGCCTTGAGATGTTTTCCCTTCTTGAGTGAACTCTAGTTGGTGTAGTGATCCCAACGCGACCACCTTAAAGCCTTGAAAGGACTCTTTGAGGTTGCGAAACATGTAAAAAGTAAATGAAATTGAACACAGATGCGATGAAACAAGTTGCTTTGCAGGTGCACCTGTGAATCAGTGGTTGACATTATGGTTGATGAGAACCGGCCAGCACAGTTTAGAAGCAGGAAAGGCGTTCTGGTACTTAGGCCATGGTGTTCATTCACGGAAAGGCATCGGCAAGGACGTTTGGGGTAGAGTCGGGTAGAGTCGGGTAGAGCTTCAGCGACGCCAGAACGGCATTGCGGTGGAACAATGCCACCCCATTGCGGCAGTGCGGCCACGCATGCCATGAGAAATCAACTCCTACATGATGGCACCAAAATCGAGTGAAATGGTTCATTTCAGAGCTGAGACCTTCCTCTTTGCGTTGAAGTTCAAACAGAAGATGTCTGAAGCGCAGAATGCCACCAAGCTGAGACTTTCGGCTCTGCAAGGGCCGGCGGAGGATGCCACGTGAACCCGTGAGAGGTCGACGGTCTCTGGATGGACGTTGCTAACCTGGCAGACGGAGAATGGAGGGTGGCCAAAAGTTCGGCCTAGACCGCGGGTTTCATGTATATAGAGTTTACCTAGCGTTTGGGTCCATATATCAGAGGTGATTCTTTTGCGAATGCTTGCCAGTTCAGCATTGAGAGGGAGACAGCAAGCGTTATGCACACGTGCGGGGCCCCTTTCCAGGTCGTGTCAAGTTGAACTCGTGCACCCCCTGGTGCTGAGGAGAAACAAAGGTACAGCTGGACGGAACCATTGCGAATGCTCAGAAGATGATCCGGGACGGATTTGAGCGCCTTGAGCGTGAAAAACTCACGTCACAGTCGTACACAGGAAGCTCTCTGAAAGCTTAGATACAAAAAGACACTGAAACTTGAGAGGGCCGGTATGGTCTAGTGGCTAGACCCCGGGTTCAATCCTCGGGTGCAACACTAGGTGGACAGGCGGGCCACTACCCCAGCCCTGTATAGTTGAGGGGATGAGCTAGGGTGTGGACCGTTCAAATACAGAAACTGAAACTGACATGTTCTTTGTGAAAGCCCGGCTAAGAAGTGGCGGTGTCGTGGTGAGCTGATGGGAGAAGCCCAACATCCAAAGTGGTTGAGCGGGGTGATTTTTTTTACACACTCCGAACCTACGAGAGGTGTTGGTTGAAGAAACATTTTTGGGGGGAACGTCGGCTCGTGGAAGACCATCTCTCTTTGCCACTAGAAATTGGCGTCCAGCAAGTCAAGATCTTTAGATGGTGGCACAGTGCTACAAATGCGTCATACATCGTCATACTATTACTAGCCACTTTAAAGCGTTCACTTCAGTGAGATGGCGGGAATAAAATAACTAGCAAGAGCCAGAAACCCTAGACTCATCTAGACTCCAATAATGCGAACACCTAGCAACAGCTGCTTCATTGTGTCATTGTGCTTTTAGCAGGCAGCTTTGATGGATGCCATTTACATCCATTTACGATCCTACCCCTAGGGTAGACCGGGCAGGGTGGTGACTGCTCGGCAACGCCTTGTTCTGCCGTTCGTCACCGGGTTCTCCGACTGAGGGTGACGAAAACGTTGGATTCAGAGAAGGAGGGCGTTCAGACCGAGGTGCGAAATCGCCGGCCCTGGGCAGTGATTTCCGGTGCGCGTGGTTGTAGAGAAACCCAGCCAAGACCTCTCTCCACCACCCCCGCATGAAATGAAAGATTCAACAAAGCCAGTTGGAGAGATCACCCCAGTTGAAAGTGGAGAGATCGCCTGAGTTTGCTATCTTGTTTTTGTAAAACATGTGATGGAACAGGATCCATTGACTTAGGATGGATTTTGATGGTTCAAGCACGGTCTTATATCGTTGGGGATTCAAACCGGTCACACTCCACTGCTTGGTCCCTCAGGTCTCCCCGACCGTCCATGGGATGAAGCCCTTGTTCTTCTATTGGTGTTATTCTTGAACGAAGTCTTTCAGTCTTGCCTACATACGCATCCCCAAGCATAAAGCAGGATATGCATGGATATGCTGGCAGCCGTTGCCTTTTCGTAGCTACGCCGGAAGCACGCCACGAGGTGCATTACTTGAAAAAGTTGCACAACCGCATTGAGTGCCTTGACTGCATTGGCGCTCCGCTGCTCCTGCTTGCGGCGCTCCTCTCGCCTGAGGATGACGAATATGGCGACCTTCCACCTGAAGCAGCTGAAGAGCGAAAAGGCCCTGATGAAAGCTCGGAAGGAAGCAGGACCCACTCGGTGGATCTGTGAAAAAGTCATTAAAATCACTGCTGGAATGAACAGATTTGCTATGATTTGCTCATTTGCTGGAATGTAAAGATTTGGTTCATTTTGGTTCTATCACTGAACTTGGTGTGATTCAGTGGACATGCTCCTGTGTTTCTTTTCACCGCTTGGAGGATTCAATCATTATCATTCATTATCCAAGAAAGCTTCCAATATCAGCTTGCCTTAATTGGTAAGAGTTGCCTTCATCACCAGAACATGTTAAGTTAACTCCAGTGGCAGGCTAAGTATGGCTCTCGGTTTCTGAGCCACTAGCACTTTAGAAATACCTCCTGCTAGCTTCACAAGGGGCTTTGGCCATTTCACGAGCCGTACCTGGCTAGAGAGCCCAATCAGAAACCAAACCTGAAACAGATCAACTTCCAAAGCAAATGGCAATCATATAGTCTGGCAATGTCCGGCACACATATATCAGCTTGCTTGCTTTTCTTTCCACCATTGGGTGGCGGCCCTGGCCCCATGGCCCGCTTGGTCCATCCAGGAGCTTCTCTCCCTGGCGCTCTCGAGCCCGCTGGTGAAGCCGGGGGGGCGGTGGCACCGCCCTCCGCGCCAGTGGAGACCGTGTCAAGTCCCAAGCGGAAGAAGAAGGATGCAAGGGACAGGACCAAGGACATGAGATCAAGTTGAGATGCTTTGGGCTTGCCAAGTTCCTTCTAAACAGAATCCGTGAACTTGATTTAATGGATGTGCATTTCATTACATTTCATTACAGTTTGACGGCGGGGCTGGTGTGGTTGCTGGTGACGTGGTGGTTCGGAACCATTCCTGACTGCTGTCAACGTTTAAAGCTCGTAGCACCAACTGGTAGGAAGAAATGGAGGGAAAAGAGAACTGTCATTAAAGCAATGAGGGCCTTACCTCATTTCAGTGGTGGCTTGTTTTGACGGTGCGCTTTGTTATTGTGTTTGCCAGGAGATGAAGGCAGATATTAAGAAATTGAAAGACGGTACAACAGAGGCACATACGGAAACACATTGCACCTTGATGGCTGCCGCACAGCTGTAAATGTTTGCAAATAGTTTCCAACAAGCGAGAACTCATTGATCCACTGTGGATTGAAGGTGTTAATCGATTACTGTATTGATAGGAGACCAATCAGGTCTCCGAAACCTACTCTACCAGGATGCTCCCCAGTCGGACGTCAAGGCCATGCAGCGCCCGCCGGTGGCAGGCAATGCAGGCCAGGATGAGTTGAAGTGAATAGAAGGGCTTGGTTATAGCTATAGCTGCTATAGCTGATCAAATTTTCTCCCCTGGTCTGGGCATCATACCGGGTTCTTCCAAAAGACAGCCATCCATGCCATCCCATCACATGTCCATGACATGTCCAAGTCTGGCAAACAAGCCCCCTTGAACCCCAAACAGCAATGTTGGCATGTACTTCCCCGCAACTTAAACCAAAATGCTGCTGCTTTTCTTGAAAGCCTCAGCATGGAAAGATGTCACACAACTTTGAAGTTGGGGAGTCCGGGGGGCGTGGAGAAGGCAATCGAATGGTTCAAAGATATGTAGATTGCTGTTTGTTGTGGAAGAGCCAGTACACCACCCTTCAACATGTACAGGATCCCCAGAACCCACAGCCAGAGCCGTGGAGTAAGAAGAATGCAGGCAATGCAGGCCGTCTTTCTGTGCGCAAGCCGGATCGTGAACAAGATGGTCAACAGAAGACACTCGATTGCATACAGTTTGTGGTTATTTGTGGTTGTTTGAATGTTGACTCTTTCGATTTTGCAAATTGGTGTAGCTGATGACTGGCACGTACAGGTCGTCTGACTGCAGATTGCGGGCTCGAGCAGACATTTCTCACTTTCCCTGGTTGATCCCGACACTATCCCACTGGATGCAATTGTTTTCTTGAAACGCACACGAGCCCACAGGCCCTGTAAACCCTGTCGAGATTGGAGCCGGGTCAGAAAGGAGGTGGTGTTAAAAAGGCAACCCGCCCATGCGTGGGATTGTCGAAGGGCTCCCCGCTTTGGGCTAGACGGCAAGACATGTTGCCGTGGAAAACGTCCCGCAGAAGCCAATACTCACTGGGTGAGTTTGGTGCCCTTGTCCGGTTCAAATGCATATCCAGGAAAGTGCCCAACGATTCTGCTTCTCATCGTCAGCTGGAGAAAACCCTGAGGCCGCGATCCTCCTGGCTGGCCCGGGCTTCGACAGCAGTTGCTTTGGGTAAGACGGAGTCTATGGTGCCAGAGCGGGGTGCGCCACACAGATGCTCGGTTTTTTATCGTTGTTGTGCGCCACAGATGTGGCATGTCATTGTGTTCTGTGGCGCTGCATGTGTGTGTTTATGGAATGTTGGACAATCTAACAATGTGGTGATAGGTGATGTGTACTGTGTATTTCTTGAAGGGTGATTCTGAGAGAAAACCATGGGGTGTGCCACACGCAGGTTCGGTGTGTAGGTTTGGAGGTGTAAGCAGTAAAATTTGAGCGGAGGTGGTTGAACACCTGTGGGGGGCCGAGATTGCTGCCAAGGACAGGGCCGAGAGGGAACGTGCCACAAGACGCGGCAAAACAAAGGCCCGCTGGTCATACTACCGTGCGACGCATTCCTTGCAGATCATAGCAAAGCAAAGTATGAACAAATTGTCTTGAGAATTTGAACCCTTGGCCATCAGAAATGCTTCAAACTTGTTTGTTTGAACCCTTGCCGGCTGTGTCCCAAGCAGGTCAGCAACAGGGCCTGTGGGGCCCCTGGCCTTTTTCAATGATAAGGGTGCTGAAGGAGAGATGTCAGGACAGGACACAAGCTCACACCAAAAACCCATTTGAAGAGCTTAGCGTCCCTGGGGGGGGAAGGTAGTTCTTGAGGAATTTCTGAGAAACTGTTTAATTCACTTAAAGAGTTGGACAAGCTTGCAAAGAATGACCTATTTGTTTATCCTTTTTTTTGCTGGATGTGTGTTTGGTTCCTGTTTTCACGACATGTGTTGGAAAATATTGAGAATTGCTGGTCACGGTGCAGCTTGTTTAGTGTTCCCTTGACTGTGTGGCTGCTTTGTTTGTGCATGACCCACTCAGAAGCTGGCTCAGCTGCAGCACACGAGTCCCCGTAATAAAGGGCTGGGCCAGACAAGCGTTGAAAAAACTAACAATATCAGGACACCTGTCCACGTGAGGATGTGTATGAGTATATGCCTACTTTGTTCAGGTCTAACCACAGGTTTCTACTAGCCCACGGAGATCTATCTATTCTAACTTATCACACCTCACCAGCACGGTGGGAGTCGAGCTAGCGACCTCGGAAGGAAGCGAGGAGGACGAAACAGGAGCAGCAAGGAGGCACGATGCTTTGCTGAAACACCTGTGACTTTAGTTGTTGTTTTCTTGCTGTCAACTGCTTGCTGCCAGCGGCTACCTATAGGCAGAAGGATGACAAGAGGGGGACTCTGAAGCGAGGTGACCGCAAAGCTCAGTCTGGAGCTCAGATTGACTGTGACTGTGCTGAGAACTCCTGTCACCAAGAGCAGAAGGACATGTTGGGATCACCCTATGTATCCCTATAATCACCTCAGCCTGCATGGCACAGTATGTCCAGCAGTCGAATCTGGTGTTCTGTTTCGCATCCAGGGTGATCCATAGAATCTATGAGTCTAGGGATGTCGTCATGTACGTTTGATAGATCCAGCAAGAGATGGATCTGCACAACTCCGTGGAGTCCAGCAGAGATGCTTGCAGTGGGTCCCAACTGTTCCGCAACAAGTGCACAGGAGCATTTGCAAGACTTGCTGCTAATGGAAGACCATGGAAGACCCTTTCTTCCCGGTTATTGTTCCTTTCGATGATCGAGGCGCACGGTGCATCTAAGGTTCAACAAGATCTTCACAACAACCATGCAGCGTCGCTTGCGCACTGCGACAGATCGATCTGCGGCCATGTTGTTCAAGAAGCCCCATGATCGCAGTGAGCGTTAAGGCTCCAGTTGTGAACTAAATGCTACTCCACCGCTTCCTGCAGGGGGACCAATGTGCTTGCTTGGTGGCTGATTGTAGATGGTCACTTTGGGGGGGATTCCTTTTACAGCAACTAGTCGTTCAATACGTACTTCGACAGCAGCCGAACACTCATTTCATGCCCCAGTGGGGCGGTACCGTCAAACGGTTGGGGCCAGGGCTCCTCACAGGTTGATGTTGGAGCGATTTCGTAGGGGTTGGTTGGCAGTGCGGCATTGATGGTGCCGGTGAATTGTGTGCAAGTGATATAGCATATCATATGGGGAAACAAGATTCTCGAAGAGGATCCAGAGGCAATTAACTTCTCCCCTATAGCTACAAGGGTATTAAATGGGTATCACATACATAACTATATAGAAGGATGCTTGCTCGGTATGCCAGAGACATAATGATGCCAGGCTAGACCTTGAATTAATTCCATACTGTTGATGGCAATCATCGGATTTCATGGTGGCCCAGAGCCATTCACAAGACATGAGCGGTCCAATCGAAAATTACATGGACCCATGAATCCAGATTCCGCACTCTCGACAGGCACAAGATCCATAGACTTGAGGATAGATGAACAGGTCGGATCATAAGATCCATAGCTCCTCGTGTGCTGCATCAGATTTGTTTCCGGACACATCTCGCACACAGTCTCGCACACCCTCATGTTGGCAGTAGCCCCACCCAAGTTCAGAGGAAGATGAACACCACATCATTTGCAGATCTGGATCAGAAACCTATAAACACCGACTGTGTGCAATTCCACAACTCACTCACCAGATGAACTGATGAACTCCTCAGAATCCTTCTCCATTGCTCAATGGCTAGTAGACTTAGTAGACATTGATCTTTGGCACCGTTGGCACGTGAAAACCCGATGAAGTCCCAAGCCACCAGCCCTTGCTCCAGCTGTCCACGCGGTATATATATATATGAGCCATTGTCAAAACATGCGAAGACCACTTTAGTAAAGAGGGGTAGGTTTGTGCACAAAACCCTGCAAAACGATAAGGTCCACCTCAAAACCGATAACCCCAGCGCTGTATATGGTCATAAGTATGCGACGAACTCAAAACGCTGTAAAACGATAAGGTCCACCTCAAAACCGATGACGTCCATTTTTTAGCTGAAGAAGAATAAGGAGTTTTGACCGTCCCTCATATATATATATATATAGTAGCTTCCGCTCGAGGTCCCTCATTGAGGCCAACCGGAATCAGCAAATGACTCGGAAGATCTTGGACTCCAAGCGCAGCTGGGAAGACGGCTGGGACCGTTGGGTCGAGGCTTTGGGATGTGCAGAAGGGGGGCACCTTTCCATGCATGAGATCGGGCCGCACGCGTTTTCGAGCCTTGGGAGTACGTTCGTTGTCCTCTTTGGTCAGACAGATATCCCATACCAGCTCCAACAGGTCACCAATTGAAACCTGTTAGGGCCCTTCCCAAGCCTCCAGCCATCGGAGACCTGTTGGGTTCGGTGCTGGTAGTGGACTAACCCGTCGACTCCCAGAGGCCGGTCCGCCGAGCTGGACGATCCGGACGGACGATCCGGACGATGGACCGCCATCGGAGACGAGACGAGGTGGGGATTTGCAGAGCTTCTTGAAGTTGACGCTGTCGAAACATGGCATCAAGACCATGCACCGCATTCAGTCGGCCAAAGAGCAGCAGGTGATTTGACTCAATGGGCAGCTGCGTGGGGAGTGGAGAAGAGTTTGGGGAGTGCATGGGGTTGCTTGTTCATGTCACTTCATTCGTTGGGCGATGTTGATTGGAAAAGCACACGGAACGTTAATATTGACTATTGCAAAAAGTGCGCTCCTGCGGATTGTCTAACATGCATGCTTATGGACCAGTCACTTTGGGCAGATGGACCTGCTTCCATATGAGAAGCCCACTTGTATCGCATCGGTCAACCACATATTTAGCCTTTGGATGCCTTTGAATGGTTGTTCAAATTCAAGCAGGAAGGTGTCCCGCATTTCGTTGAGGTGAAGACAGATACGTGCTGGTCGGTGCACATCTCGTGCTGGTCGGTGCAGTCAAAAGTAAAAAAGACACAACATACGGAAGCAAATGGATTGATTATTGTAGAGCACAATGACATTATTATGTTTGTATTCATTTTTCACATGCATTATGGACAGTATTATGGAAATATTTAATCATAATTTGCTCTCGACCCGGTTTAAATTACAAACAACAGAATTTGTACTCGACTCTTGAATACTCTTGACATCTTCAGTTCTGAAACAGTGAGGATCTGAAACGGTGATTGAGCATCTTCAGTGTCCGCTGTCGACTTCACTGAGGAGCGATGGAATGATGAAGTCGACTATATGACCACCAAGCTCCTGGGTGGCACGATTGGCCACACAACCATTTGGCAAAGAATTCCTTTGGAAGAGAATCGGAGAAGTTGGTGATCCCGATGTCCGGCAAATAGAGAGTGAGTAGTGGGTAACGTGGTCTTCGTTTCCCGCCTCTGCCGTGGGATGCCGTGGGAGCCCACGACCCTAAACCCTAAACACCGCCGTTGGCTTCGTGCCGCGCCGTGCCGCAATCGAAGAGGCTACGCCGTGGAGCGGGCATGGAATCCATGTGGCGTGAACGCCACGATGCCTGGCTCCAGGAGATGAAAGACACGTCCCTCAGAGCGAAGAAACTATCGGTTTTGGTTGCATCCATCACCAGGTGGATGGGGGGGTAGGATGGAAAGCAGATGGACCCAGTAAGTGGCATAGAAGTCCGAAGATAGCACGCAAGTGTTGCTGTTGGGGAACATGGTTCTGGCATGCTTTCCCATGCTTTCCACAAAACCACAGGGGTCCCATGGGATTTTCCTGGTCAGTTGTGCTGCTTCGCCGTGTCGCTCCGGTTGGCCGGTTGGCCGACTGCTCCGTTCGTAGCGATGCCAGGAGCCCCGTTCGTAGCTTCTTGTTACTCGTCGCTCCATTTATTTGGAACAGGTTCTTTCCATAAGGATTATATGCAGATGTAGAGACGCATTGTGAAAAGATATTCACCGTACGACCGTTCGCAGCTATATTGATATATATAATCATTATGTGCAATTTGGATAATGAAATGATGCAAGAACTTTTGACCAATTATTGACCCTTGCGCTGGAGCTCACTTCCAAGCCTTCTTTACCTGGAGTGGAGCGCTCCACTAGCACGATCAACTCAGAATGCGAGTGTGTGAACATCAAGGTTGCCCACTGTTAGACTTCCCTTCCAGTGATGGTGACATATCCAACCCTTGACATTCCTTTGGGCCTTTGAAGATATCAACGGCTTTTATCGTCATCAGCAAGAGCTAGATGCTGATGTAGAACGCCTCCAAACCTGGCTCCCATGTCCAGGTTTGGAGACATGGTGCTGGATGCCTTTGTCCAAGCGGATCGTTTCATCAACAAAGATCAATGGTCACAGCGATCCTGGGCGGAAAACGTGGGGAAAACGAGAGAGACCGAGATTCTCCTCTTCCCAAATGGGTTTTGGAAGAGCAAACTTCCTGTTTGGGCCACAGCAGAATATGTTTGAATTGACCCTTGGAGGATTAGGTTCGGCCAGCCTTCTGACCTGATAGTGCGGTGGTCAACTGTCAGAATAGATTGATTATAGTGAAAGCTGAATTTGTTGGTTCACCACCTCAATTGGGTCAACACTGCCCGCTCTCTGCGGGCAGCAGAAACCAAGCCAAGTCCCATCCGGGGGAGAGCTGTTTCTGGTGTTCTCCCAGGATTGCAGCAGATCTTGCGAGAAACCTTCGAGCAGATGAAGGAGGAACTTCCAACCGCAGAGGTGGACGATGCTTGGCAGAGTGGGACGAGGAGTTGCTGTCGTGGAGGTGGGATGGGCTGGAGGAAGGGAGGTTTACGTGGCAGAAACGCTGCTTGCCGTCTCAACACCACTTGCTTGCCGTTTTATATTGCATGATTGTTCTTTCAGCTGAAGAACTGTTGTTTGGGAGAGCAGTTTCTCCACATCCAGAAGCCCAGAAGCCCAGAAGCCAAGACGGACTTGATGACACGTTCACGCCGCTTAGCCGATCAATCCGAAGAAGCACGTTTCGCACATCTCAATGTTGAGCGTACGACCAAGCCGCCATGACACCTACCCGGAGGCAATTTGCATTAGTTGAGGTCTTTGCAAAACTGATCTAGAAGACACATCACTTGCAGGCAATGTGAGGGGACAGCCTCTTTTGTCACCCAAAACGCTCATTCTTCGATTCTGAGCCCCCCCGCCTCAAAGAGATTGAGACACAGGAAAAAACATGTTGCAGACATTTGGCTTATGTGATTACCTGTTAAGAGGCAGCCGCGATCTGGGCAGAGCCCCAGTCCGATTTGAACACCAAACCCTCCGTTTGACTGAAAAGAGCGCAGGACCATTCACCCCTTTCCATCCTAGGAGGTGTCAGCAGTTGCTGCAAGATGTAAGAAGGACACAGCTGGCCCAATGATCTCTCGCGTTATACTTGCACCAAGTCCTTCTCGGAATGTTTGGACAGTTTCTGGGGTCAGTTTCTTGTGTAGTGATCTGATTCTCAAGTTCTGCTTGTGTCAGGCATTGCCTTCACTTTGCCCAGGTGAGTCATCACATTGATGTACCGGAGAAGGACGAAGAAGAAGGATTGACCTCGGTGCGGCTGGGAGAAGCTCACATGGCCAAGCTTTTGTGCCTTGACGTTTTTTCAGGGTTATTTTTGGATCTAATATATGGTCTTGTATGGTCTGATATGGAGATTAGGATCAGTTTGACAATGCTTGACGGCTGTCAAGAGTGGATGCTGCAAATCCACTGTGATTGGATGTGATTGGTCACTGTAGCAGATATGTGTATTGTTCAGGTGAGATTTCAAGCAAGCATTAAGCATGATGTTCTGAAGACGCAGATGTTTTTGGGCTTACAGCGTACTCCAGTGCTTCCGACACGGCAGGTGGTGCGATAAAACCACATGCTTCAATACCCCAAACGTACAAACAGGTCGTGGAAGCAGGAGATGACACCATTAGTTAGAGTTTGCTGTTTCCCGGCTACATTGCATTGTTCAGCCTCAATGACAACCATATGGCTCGAATTTAGTTGAGCGTTTGCTGGGTCTCATTTGGGGATCCTGGTCTGGGTGCGTTTGGTCCGTTTGAGCTCTGGAGCGCAACAGAGAACCCATCTGGTCTTGTCGATGCTCCGAGAACCCTTCGCTTAGGCAGAAGCAGAACACCCTTCCCCAAAACCTGGAGGAGGAGGAGGAGGCAGCTCCAACACAGGCGCGGTGGATCAGATCGGACCAACGTCCGTGGATTGGCCGGCACAGGTGAGCTCAGCGTTGGGGTTTCAGCACTGCTGAGGGAACCTCCAGTTCTCGCAATATGGCCTTCATGGAGTATTGCGAAGGGATGATGTGTATATATATATTTAGTATCAATGAATCAAGGAAGGGTAAGTTCTTTTGTTTGTTGTTTTAACCTTTGTTTTTGTGGCTTTTGGCTTCTGTGGGTTCTGTGTTTGGTGTTTGGCTTGTTTGTAGCATTGTGTTGAGTTATCTCCACTTCTCTTTGTGCCCAGGAGGGATCATCATGGCACACCAACATAAATTTCAAACACCATAAGGAACCCACCGTGGAAGCCGTGGGCTATCAGTCAGGCTTTTGCCAGCTTGTTTCAAGTGCATCTCCACCTCAGTCATTGCAAGCTGCTCATGCCAAGGAGGAAACCATGATACATTAGTACGCTTATGCCTATGCATACAACAAAACTCCAGAAGGAGCTACCTACCTAGCAAAACCAAACAAATCCAAAGATTAACATGTTTCAGCCGTTTGTCAAGTGGTGTTCCTGTCGCTGAGACGCCCTTCCCACCCCCCAATTTATAAGTGGTTTTCTTCCACCAACAAGTTCTCAGGTGGAAGTCCTTATATCAGCACGCCGAGAGGACCGGGACTCGGTGTCGTTTCCCACCAGATCCGAGTTCCGCCTCAGGCGGGCCTCACCCTGGAGGACCTCCCAGAGGTTTCTCAGGCGTTGTCCTCCCGCGGCTTCTCCACGCCGGCCCGACGACCACCGGGTCACTCGGCTCTCGGTTTTGACCGCCTCCCGGAGAGAAGTCGATGTAGAAGAATTGGCGATGATCCAGGTTTATGATGGATTTTTGGATCACACACCCAGTGATGAAGGAGGCACCACACCAAGCGACACACCAATGCCTTTAGGATATTTTTGTGGTTAGGGGGGGGCTCATGGGCTGAAGCACAACCAGGTCAGAAGTTGTCCTGCATGGATAAACTGAAGAACCTGCGGATCAAGAGGAATCGATGGTAGTTGAGAGTGGAATTGCATACATCCACAGATTTGCTGGTACCTTGAGGTAGCGAAAAAACAATGAAAAACAGACATTTCCGTTGGAGAACCATGTGTTCTGCAGCTGCTTGGGCTCGGCCAAACTTCAGTGATCTCCAGTGGTACATCCAGATTTCTGATTCCAAACCCTGGAAGACTCAAAGGTTAGATCTTTTGCAGCTCCAGGATGTATTTGATGTTGAACATCCTCAACATCAAGATCAGAGCACGGGGTCAAAGGGGGATTGAACCATGTAAACATGCATGGGGCGGGGTTGAACATGGGGGGGACAACGAGCAGCCCTTTGCAAGTCCAAGTCATGATTGTTTCGTGCAGGAATTGCTCCGGCAGCAGATTTCAACTCTAAATTCAATGGCAGACAAGGTCCAGTCCATAGCACTGCCTCTCCCCGCACCCACCGAACCCTGACCGGGTCGACCGCCCGCGTGCGAAGCGCTGTGTCGTTCTTCGAAGGAATTCCGACCGCGAGCGCCACGCAGAGTCGGCAAGCCACTTGGAATGCAGGGGCAGTCGGTTGAGTCCGATTTCACACAGGTGCGGAGAGAACAAATCTTGGTTCACGTGCTTCGTTTGTTATTTGGTTGCTTGGTGGGTCATTACGTGGTAAGAGTAACGGGATCCTGAGTGTTCCCATAAGACCCACCGACCCAACAAGTCACTTGTGGCTTTATGGGACAAAAGCCCCGCATTTGTTGTGGCTCTTTTTGGTTGGTTAGGGCTTCGTTTCTTTTCCATGTGGTCATGCACACCCATTGCGCACCCATGGCTTAGTTTCCTACACTGAGCCTGATGAACGCCGTAAGACTGGATCTCTATAACATCATAATCATGCAGCAGTAGCTCCGTAGTAAGTCTTAACCTCACTTGTAGTGGGATGATGGAGAATTGTTCGCTTGTCACTGGTTTTTTAGGTCCTATAACCTATAGGTGACTTTTGGCCCTTGGGTAGGGTGACCATCCATCATCCCGCTAGATCAACCAATAGATGAGTCGATCCTTAAGCTCCCACAATTTAGTTTCGGCCGGTGGTCAGCTGCCAGAAATCTGCGGTGGTCTTCCAGCCTGACGATGTCATAGATGTACCCGAGCCCGTGGAAAGTCACCGGGAGCATGAGCTACCCAGTTGGCTGCGCCCTGCCTGAGACCGGAGAAGAAGAGCAGTGGATGGGTGGATGAAGGGGTCAAGGCTAATGATTGAAGAGAAGAAAGGAAAACCCAAGGGGAGCCCTCCTGAAACCCAAGAGGTTGGTGCAGAGTAAGGGATTCGACCTGCGCAGACCTGCAATATGCTGCAATATGCTGCAGTGAGAAAACGGTGCAGACGGCTTTTTGCAAAGGAGTTGCACCTCTCAAAGCTTGGGAACCATTTTTTAGACTGCTGCCGCCGTTTGCACATCTGATCACCATCAATGATCAGCTCCCCCAAAGAAAGACAAACATGCCATGATTTAGCAACACAGAAGGGATCTCCGTAGGGCATGGACTCAGATGTATCAAGGGTCACGGACTCAGATAACTGGGTTCCATTTTGTCGGCCAACTGCAGCCCTTTACGGGCGGTCACCGGAAGCACTGTTTCGGGGGGGCGCCAGTTCAGCCACGAACGAGTGCACCTGCAGGGTGGAATTGGGGGACGTTTGGGGTCGTTTTGGGGCCGTTTGCACCTGTGATGCATGGACCTTCATACATGTGCATACCAATATTACTAATATGCATACTAGTATGTTTCTGTTTAGTTCATGATTGGGACCAGCTACACAAGTTACTCTAGTGAACTGCCTCCCCATCCGAAACTTGGCCGTTCTCCAAGGACGGCAGGCCGTACGCGGACAAAGACCAGAGAGCTGGTGGGATCGAAAGTGGAGGTCGAAACCTTAGGGGATCTCCAACAGTGTGTGAAATAGAAGGTCAACTGAAGGTAAACCTGCAACTAGAAGGTGAACCTTAGGGGATCAAGAAAAAACCTTATGTAAAAGCAGTGTGAGAATGTTTTGCTTTACCTTCGATTCTTGCAGGCAGTGAGGGTATTTCTTTCCACTGAGCATGGTGTTGACTTGGGTCACCTCACACATAGTCAAGTACTACGCTGGGGGTGCCTGGTAGAGTCCAGTTGTTTTTCTATGTTTTTCTTGCTTGCATGTTTCATCCGCAAATCCTCCACAGCTTCGCACCCGATCCCACCAGGCCGAGGATGTGGAAAGCGAGGTGTCTGCGGAGATCAAGGTCTTCAACTTGGCTCGCAGGAGGAGCAGCGGATCGGCAACCCGCCTGAAGAAATAAAACCACTTGTTCAACGCTATTATAATATTGAGTTTGAATAATATTCAGTTCAGTTGATCATGTCAGGCTTCTCGAGCCATCTCTGAAAAGATCATCGAAGATCACGGCCTTGTGGCTCGATCGTCCCTTGAACGTGGGAGGAGTGTGCAGCCCTGGCTGGAGCCGGTGGATTGGCGCCGTGGCGGGAAGATGCCACACCACCGGTCGGAAGTAACGAACTGTCACGGGATCTTCCATGGACTCCGTCACCCCCCCAACAAAAACAACCAAGCAGTGCAATATCAGGAGGACCTTGGACGACCGTCCGTGGACCCACTTGAAGAAACGACTTGGAGCCATCAGCAAGCGTCACCGGTTGCGGCCGCACGCAGCTACTTGATGCTACTTGCCTTCCCGTTGCCCATCCTGATCTGTGTGTGTGAGGATTGAAGATGCATCATATCGAGCTGCCTTGAAAACTCTTCAGAAGCAGTTCCATAAAGGCGTGGTTGAGATTGGAAACTTGAGGGGGGAAGTTTACAAGCTTCGTATGCACTGTATGCACCTTTTGATTGATGGATTTGTCCAGTGCAATCAACCAATCCCATCAATCTAAGTAGGTGCCTCACTTGTAGTTTGTCATCTCTACATGCATAAGGCTAGCCGGCGAGCCGGCCGTGGGGCGCAGCTGGGGAACGTTCGTGCCTCCTGGTTCTGCATGCGTTCTTGATGTGATTTATGTAGGCAAGACCCGAGAAGAAGAGATGTGGGGCTACAGCCCGCCAGTGTTGCTTTGCTGCACAGAAGCACGGAGCAAAACAACAGCCGCAACTGGCTGCCTGGACATGCGGTTGATTGGATGCATCTCATCCTTGGTTTGTTGAAGTTGTAGCTTGCAAGTATATAATAGATGTTCGCAGATGGTGGCACACAACTTTTGGTGGAGCCTTCTGCTGGGCAGACCACGGTCCAAGAGGATCGCCTTCGGTTTGCTCCAGGCCCCGGCCTTCCCCCCGGACCGGAACGCACCCGTCGCCCCAGGGACGGCGCGAGGCGACATCTTCGGAGGAAGCTCACCGAACGGACTTCGAAGGCCTTGAGCAAATCGGCGCCTGGCCTGGAGCGTCACCGGGAGGTCCGCGTCCGTCGGATGGAGGTTGGGGTCCAGATGGTCGGATCCAACAAACTCCTGAAGCACCAAGAATTGGAATTCGGACCTCTGAAATTCGGAAGTCTTGGATTCCTTAGCAGGTGAGTGTGGTTAGATAGGTGGGCCATCCATGCGTTGCCCATTCCCAGTGAAGCAGTTTCAAGGCTTTTAGGCGTGTGGCCGATGGCTGTTTGGATTTGGTTGCTTCAAGTCGCTTTTTTCCAAGGCCGGAAGGCACTGGGAAGGGACCGGGAAGGGATGGTTCACTGAAGACCTGTGCCTCCAAGACCTTGGTCCTCTAATTATTTCGGGCTCAGCGTGGCGTCACCAGTCACTCCGCCGTCTCGAGGCCGAAAGATGCTTAAGCAGGAGGTTGAAGAACTTCCAGCTTGAGGCCACCGAACACCGTCTCCATCGCTTCGGTGGGAGGTCCACCGAACACCCACGGTTGTGACAAGGTCACCAAGCAGATGTTGGGGGTTCCTGAGACATACGTTCCGCATCAACTTGGAGGCTCGAGACCTTGGCACCTTAGGAGTTTCACATTTTGGCACTGCTCGAGACCTTACAGATAAGCCCCAACACCGGTATTCGGAGGCCATCGCTGGGTTGGAGGGCATCGCTCTGCTCGGTTGGAGGCCATGGCTAATCCCGAGTCTATTAATAAACACTCCCCAATTAAAAGAACACAACGTCCGAAGCCCTAAATTCGGCTTATAATTATGTGTGTTTTTAAATTACCGCCCTTTCAAACCGCTACTAAACTACCAACATGGTCGATTTTGGGGGGTAGTTTTTGTTAGTCTAATGAAGAATCAGTATTCTAATAAATGTTTTCGTAGGGGAAAAGGAAGACCCTTCGATCTGGAAGTTTTTTGAATTTTTGATACGAGTTTAATAAAAGATTTTATATAAAGCTTTTCTGAATGACTTTTTGGTTCCAGATTACTAGGTTCCTTTTAGGTGCAGCCTTGACCTCTGACCGGATCCATGGCCCCTGGACGTCGAACGACCTCCAGTCCATTCCAGTTCACATACAAGACCAACTACGTTGGTGGATAGGATATGCTTTATACAATTGTTTCACACTTTGCTCCAAAACCGGTTTCCGTTAGCACACCACTCCAGGAGCTGGAGGACGCTTCTGAGCGAGTGCATCGCACAGCCTGGAGTCCCACAGCCATTGCCCTGCAGTGCAGCCTCCGTCGCAGCCGGAGGCGCTCACAGGTGCGGGTGATTGGGGGATGTATATGGATGGATGTAGGTTCACCAAACGACGGAGGCCGCGCCATCCATTTCCACCAGATAATTCCAGATGAATTCTTGAGATGTATGAGTCCTACTGCAAGTGACTACCCAGTAGGCCAATGCTTCTTATTGGCTCACATATCAGGTCGACATTTGCAGGTCACCACTGAGGTTTGGCAAACAAAGTGGATGCATCTCCATTATCCATTGGCCTATATAGGCCTTATTTACATATCCGTCGATCGATTTGGTGCAGGCCAGAGCTCGGGGTTTGGTGACTCGGCTTTGTTGGATGCCATATCAAAATTGAATCCACTTGATGTCGAGGATGGGGAAGTGGTTCACATCACTGATTCCATATCACATTAAGACTTGAAAAGTTGAGCCACCACTGGATGTTGGCGCCAATTGTCGTTTCCTCTTCAACATGTTCATTGATCCGGTGATTTCTCGCATGGCCATGGGCCGCGTCGTGGGGGCCCGAGGATTGCGTGCTGACCCACGATGGCGTGCGCTTCCGAGGCGCGCGGGACGCGTGCGCGAACTCACGGAAAGACGTAGACTCCGTAGACCCGACGAATGCTGTTTGGCATTCTGGAAACAGGGAAACAGGTGATCAGATCTTCCCCTCAAAAAAGATGACATCAGGTCAGGTAGAACAATTCACGCATAGGTATATGATATACTATAATTTATTGAATTAGTATAGTCCAACTCACTTGGAGTGAGCCGAGCGGAGTCGGGACAAGTGCTCCAACATGCTCCAATCATCCCAGACGCATTGACCACCCTCTCGCGGCCAGGTCTTCCCCGACGATACTTGGAGGAGGACGTCTCCGAGTACACTGAGGCCACCGAAACAGAGGCGCCGGAGAAAACTCGGCGAAGACGACGAAACCAGTGGCCTGGGACAGACGGACCTCAGCGCTTCTAGCTGGAAGGCCATCGCCATCGTCACTCAGGGGCTCCGTCGGCTGAACCCCAAAACCAACGCCTTCGCTCGAGGGCGAACGTCCGGGGCATCGGGCCGGTTTCGGCAGGACGGGTCCGTTTGGGACCGGGTCGCCGCGGGAGGAGAAAGCACATGGCCAACGCGTGTGTAACGAAGGAATGGCCGTGTCACTCCGGCGCCATGGATGGTCATACCATCCACTTCCATGAGGATGTCGTGTATTGATGGACTCAACCATGCGGAAGAAGAACCAACTACACTAGTGTCGTGGTCCCCAGATATAGATAGTGGCATGGTGTCCAATACATATGTGAAAAGGGATGTTACTTTTGGACCGCCAGGCCGCAGGTGGCGAGTCGAGCACCTGGCTGGCGGACGCCACCGTGCGGCGCTTGCGCCGCTTCCGGCGGAAGTTGCTGAAACGCTTTTGCGGCCCTGAGGAGGCTGAAGGATACGTTTGGGGTGATAGATGAAGAGCTTTGGCGCTTCTGAAATTCTTTCGTGGGGTCCAAATCAGTATTGATGTCGAGTTGCAATTGAAAGCTTACGACTTATAGATGAGTTGCTTGGAGGCTTTTGACTTCTGTGATGTCATGTTGAGGCCTGGGTATGAAGGGAAACATGGAAGAATGGGGAATACAAGATTCAAGACATTCACTAATTTTCAGTTTCTAGTCATTTGTCACTTCAAGTTTCTAGTCATTTGTCACTTCACCTACCCTTTCTTTTTGAGAGCTGGACTGTGTTAGTACACTGTTTTTGTTTCTCCTAATATTATATGCTCCACAGTCCCCAGTTCTGTTCTTATTTTTTGGGGAACATTCTTGAACCATTCTCAGCAGCCGTCAAACGGATGGTTGTTTAAGCGAAGCTTGTGCCTACAACAACAGGCCTACAACAACACAGTGGTCAGCCCGATGCTTGATTGAAGCTTCTGTGGCTCTCGATGTGTCAAGTCTGCCCTGCACATTTGCAATGGGTGCACTGAATTACAGTATGTTTTTTGCACGCGTCACACTTGAAGGCAAAGGTGGAGAAAGATGGGGGGAACCGATGATGACAAGGAAGATCCACTCGGATGATGCACTCGATGACGTTTTCGGACAGATGCACAAAGCATGCAGATGTTGCCACACGCCCTGGCTTCAAGGATAAGCCTCTTGGGCTATGAGCAGTTCTGTGATATGGCCGAGCAGATTAGCTTCGATCAGACCAACACAAGGACCTCATTTAAATCAGGTGCGGGGGTGTGTGCATGTGTGACTATAATTGATATATGATATATGTCTAGAATATCTACACTGTATACATGAAATATATACTATACATAATGGGTCCATGGTGTGAAACCAGTGAAGTCCTGTAAGAGCCCTTCAGTCATGTGCCAGAGCGTATTGCCCTTCACCAGGATGGTGTGGCAAAAGATGCTGCAACTCTTGGGGAAGGAGGCCGTTGAACTCATTGGCGATCGGTTTTAGCTTAGCTCTACTAAAACGAGAAGACTCATCAAAGACATTTACTGTAAAAAACCATTGGCTTATCATGTTTCATCAGTTTCATAAAATGTTCCTCTTCAGACACAGCGATGTGGAACCTAGGGAGGTTCTGGGAACTGCCTCAATAGACTAATTGACATCCTCCAGGCTCCAGTATTGTGCAGCAGCATCGAAACTGTGTTGAGGTCACGGTCAAGCACCCTTCATTAGTCAGGTGACCCGGTGGGGAAGGTCAGCTGGAAACTGCGTGGTCAAAGCTAGTCAGCTAGTCTTCCCCAACACTGTGAGTTCGGACCGTGCCAGAGCAGTCCGGTCACACTGCAGGAGTGTGAGGAGCTGGAACTGCACAAGGGCGAATTCTCGCATGCCATGAGTTTCGCATGCGACATACGCGATCTCAACACCTTGAGCACCTTGGAAGGACGATATGAGGGTCAAACATGACATAGCAGCAACCAGAGCCATCAGAGAGAGAGAGAGAGAGAGAGACAGAGTCGAAGTATATTTATATGATTTTTCATGTGAAGAAATAGCAAATGGATACAACATGATACAACATATTGGTTGAATACACATCTGAAAATACAGAGAAGTGTTCTTCCAGCAATTTTCCGGTTTTCAGCAAACATGCCTAATGCCTATCCACACTGCAGAAGTGTTTGAGAGCCTCCCAAGTAGATAGCCCAGCGAATCTGAGAACATCATCCCATTCATGGTGGAAAAGCAATCTTTTCCTTTAGCCGCAACGCCCACAGAGGGGCTGGTGACTTTCATACGAGATGCACAGCATGGTGCTGAAGGGTTTGGGTGCGACGAATACAGTGACCGACCGTGAAGCAATGCCCTTTGCTCCTAGTAGCTTCTTGTTACTACTAGTAAGGCACTTGTTACTAGTAGCGATGCACTTGTTCCTAGTAGCTTCTTGTTACTAGTATATATCCTTCTCAAATCTTCTCAAGACAGCCTTTAGAAAAAGCATCGCCTTTCTGAGTGGGAGTTGCTACAAAAGGATTAAGTTTCGCGTTGAAACTGAGGAATCCATTTGCAACTGCGCTATGGGTCTTTGGCGGCAGCCTTCGACCAGATGGAGAAGAGGTCGGGGCCAAAAGTCATGAAGCACAACAGAGCACAACAGCATTCTCAATTCCATCGAAGGTATTTGGAATAACCACTCATGCAAATCATGAGAACCATGATGACATATGTTTTGTTGGTTGGGGGACTTTTGAGCTTGATCTCTTTGTGCGGACACGCCTTCCAGCTGCCCGAAATCCAAGGTATTAGATAACTGACCAGATTTAATACCCTCCACATCATGTCGCTGCATCATCATCTCGATCGATGAGTCGCCACATGTTTCGATGTCGCTCGCGTCGTTGGACTCGCACCTCCTGCCCTTTGAAGGTGTGGGATGCATTAACAATGAGAACACTCCCTGGAACTAACATGAAAGTGGAGAATGGCCCCTTGGAAGACCATTTTCCACTACAAACAGATGGTTTTCCACTTCCATGTTAATTCCAGGGAGAGAAACCGTTTCTTATACAGTTTACAGTGTATCTATTGTTTACAAGAAGTACTCCTGTGCAAATACCAGGAATTGAATTCTGGCTTTGTAGGATGCCTGATTGATCAACATGGCCAGTAAGATTACTAAGGCATTTGGATGAGGACTCCTGGGCTGAGCTTTTGGCTTCTGTCGGCGCTTCACACGAAGAGGTGGGAGTGGTGGGCTTCATGGTTGTGAGGATAGCCCAGAGAAGGTGATGGAATCCGGGCTTCACTGGTAATGATGATGCCCAGAAAAGGGAGAACCAAGGTTGCAACTTGTTGGTTTACCCGAGCCGTGAAAGCATTAAAATAACAAATGCAATAAAAACTGGTATATTTAGTGATTATCACTGAATAACTTGTATATTTATATAGTATGGTTATTTTGTGATTTTAGTTTGTTTCATCGAAGGGTTCCGTTGCCATCAGAGCTTCGTGTCACCGAAGGTCGTCCGAAGCACCGGTAAACGTTGGCTGGCTGTGTTCGGCCACACCGAATGGAGCGTCGTCGTGTGGGGTCGTCTTCGGGCTGAGATCGTGAGCCAGGACTGTTCTGAAGACCCCCCCCGATTTCGTGTCTCTCAGGATTGGTGAAAGGCTCAGGCTGAGGTTTCTCAAGGCCTCAAGAGCGCTGGAGCCAGGCCAAGGTCTTCTTTGCGTCGATGCTGGCCAATGGCAAACGCCAGACCCCCAAGGCGCCGCGGGTGTTCCCAGCTCAAAGAATTGCACTTGGTCCTTCCTTTGGAAAAGACATGTGGCACGGATGGCGGAGCTGTTTGAATGCGCCATTGGAAGATCTTGCTTTGTGCACGTGCGGTTTAAGAAATATTGAAGCACAAAAGAACGAGAAGAAGAAGGCGAAGAAGAAGAAGAAGGCATGTTTTACCCTAGGTTGCTTCTTCCTGAAAGCAGTCCTGCAAACATTATAAACATTGATGGCTTGTGTGGAGTGAAGTCCAGGTTATATTTGTCCGTGTTGCTTAATTTGGTTTGTAACGGCTTGAATAAGCATTCCAAGCTCAAAGCCACTATTCTGAGTGTTGGATATGACCTGTTGTCTCTCGTCACAATCCTGGAGTTCATGCAGATGTTTTTCTCAGGGGCATCCGGGGCAGCGAACCTACCAGAGAGCATTTGAAAGAAGCAAGGGACACTTTGGGTGCTTATTGTTTGCAAGGTGATCTCTTGTCCCTTTTGAGATAGAAGCAAATCCCCTCTACACGGGTCACCGCCGTCGTTAATCCCAGATCAGCCGCCGGACCTTCCTACTGGTGCTTCAGAATGCTGAGGGTTTTGCAGCCGGCAAAAGCTGCTCGGCACCGGAGGTGACTGTACTTTCAAGATTTGTCTAGCAAAATGCAAGAGTTGGTTGATCCTCATTTAGCTTTTCTCGGAGGGCGGTGAGGTTGTATTTGACTTGGTCAAGCAGAGACGCACAGAGAGGATTAGTCCTCATGATGCACAAACATGTGCGTGGACGGCGGTCTTAGGCGATTCTGCTGGAGGGCTGGAGCACTGAGTTGACCGAAGTGTAAATAGTTTCATTACTCTCCCGCAAACTAACATGGAACCTGAGAATTGATAATTTTCCTCTACAATCCAGTGTTTTCAGGTTCCATGTTAATGTTCTGGGGTGTAAGGGTTGGTTTGTTGGCCCCGAAAAGAAAAAACTTGCATACATGAAAATCACACACATCCACTTGCCAAGCTCTGAGTGTGCTGGCAGACGTCTAGAGGATCCTAGAGGCCTATTTAGATCTCAGCGAGTACTGAAAACGTGTGGTGAAAGCCACCAGTCTTTGGGTTCGCCCCCTTCATACCCGCTACATATCCGTTACATCCCATATATCACGGGGTGCATTGGGTAGGCAGCGAGAGTCACAAGCACCTCCTGCGCAAGTCGTAGGACCCGGGTGTTGGTTTGGATGAACATCCTATATGAATCTTATATGATATTGATTGGCTTGAATGATCTTTCGCTACTAGGGGCTCCTGGCCTTACTACTAGGAGCAAGGACGCTACTAGGGCTAGGGGCGGAGTGTCGGGGACGAGGCTTGATGAGCTCTTTGAAGCTGAGCAACGAAGCCACTGCCTGGCGGGCGCTCATGGAGCACGCTCGCAGGAGATGAGTTGAGTTCACTCAGTTTCTTGATGGATGGTTCTTGGTACACTTGGATCACTTGATGTGGTTCTGACAATTTTTTGGTGTGCAGCAATTGGTGTGGTGATGAGTTAATGGAAGACATGTTCAGAGACATCGAAAATGGACGCTCACCTACTTTTTGATCCACATGATGTGAAGCTGATGTTTGGTTCATCCTGCAAAGATTCCTGTTTGATGTTCGTCCAGTGGTGGAGTATTATTTGATGTTCTTAGCAGATACCCATATGTTTATGTTCAATGAACAAAACACGCTCCACCTGTTCTATTCAGATAGCCTGGTGCTTTCTCCCTGGCCAGGATGGCCAAACACAAGGGCATGCGACTGGATGCTCATTCAATCACCGCCACAGACACATGGAAGATGAGCGGACGTGCTTGTTTACATTGGTTATGCCTGAACATATGCTGTTTGACTTTTTCTCAGAGTCATTGTTCGCAGTGTGACAAGTTTGTTGTTGGAGAGAGTCCCTTAATTCCCCGGTGTTTTACCAGTTTGAAACGACTGTTTCTTTGTTTAAGGACTTTTGGGGGGGAGAGTTGAAAGCATGTTTGAGGTGTCCTCATCAAGACGGCACTTTGTAATCTCCAAGTGGCACCCACTCATTCGCGCCCCAAACGAACAAGAGACAAAAGCATGCGGGGCGGGCTTGGCCCTGTGCAGCAGGTTGCAGTGCGACTTCTAAACACAAAGCGGTTGGACCATTTTTGTGCACCCATATTTGATATTATATATAGACTACATTGATGTATTGATATACTGATATACTCTTTGTATGTAAACCGAGCCGCGCACCTAAGGAGCTGCAGCTGCTGTTGTCGCCCTTGTCCAGTGACGTCCATTGCGAAGCGTTGATCCGCATGGCGCTCTCCAAGCGACCAGAGCACAGAGGCCGTCGGCTTCGTGTGAAGGTCGGTTAGGCCTAAGCGTCGGCCGCCCACCGCTGTTGAAGTCAAAGTAACACTTGGCTGCACTCCAGCAGGTAACACTTATGTAACACTTATACATAAACTTACTACCGCCTGTCATTAGTCATTGTCTCATCTATAATCATCTATACAAGCGACATGTGAATTCGGACCAGCCAGCAGAAAACCCTCGTTGACAACGGAAAACCGTGCTGAGCGGATGCGTCACGAATTGCACGGCAACTCATGCAAGAGACATCGCGCATATCATCCTACACTACTTGTGGATGGTACCCTTTTGAAGTTCCGGTTTTGTGTAAACAATTGCAGTCTCTAGTAGCATTCCGTATGGCACTATACTGACTAATGTAGACTCTTGATTAACAACCCCCCCCCCCCAGTTGAATTGGACATCCTCTTCAAGCTTGGGGGGTTTATTAATGAAGAGTCTACATTGTTTGCATGATACATATTGTTTTCATGTGTAGTGACTCCCTGACTCCACTCCCATTTCTTCGGGAGTTCGCTGGTTCATTGGCGTCGTATACAGGTCCAGTGCGCCTTCGTTTGGAGGAGGTCTTATTGGCTGCAGTGAGTGGCCTTGGACGACGTGCCGCGGAGCTCATCAAGGAGTTGGGCCGAGAAGCCTGGGCAAAAGAAGAGCGGTTTGGTAGCCCAAAAAAGAAGGAACCTCAGGGAAGGTTAACATCCCCTTTAAAAATCATAAGGACTCTGTTCCGCCTCTCTTCCACAGAGTCTGCAAACGCGCCAGTTGGTCGGATCGGGGCTTCGCGATACGCGGCTTTCCGAGGATTACGAGGGCGAGGACAGCATCAATCCCTGGCCAACCCGGAGCGGAGCTCGGGCCGTTCCGGCACCAGCCTTTGGGCCGGAACGAGATCGGACGACGTGTGCCAGTCCGGTGATCTGTGCGGAAGAAGTGTCGAAACCATGGGATCTAGTTGGACCACTGTAGCTGGAAAGTGTTGCGACTTCCCCACTCCATTGAACCATGGTGCCATAAACCACGATCATTGTGTTTTACTGCTTTGTGCCATTGGTCTGGCTTGACTTCCAGACGCATTTTCCTCACTGGTAGCTCAAAGAGTCATTACACGGCTGACTGACGCTCACCAAGCATGACATGACATGGTCCTTTCCTTGCTGTTTGGGGCGCCACGCCATTCCATATCATTCCATGCCATCAAGCATCGTTCATGATGCATCGTTCCTGAACGATGTTGTAAAACGAGGCACATCAGGGGGCCAACTGCCAACTGCTTGGGTGATCCCAAAATTTGTCCAAGTATTTTTTTGGGGGGGCTGGAGCCACCGGCCAAGATTTAAGGATTTGATATTAGTTTTGTGTTGGAAAATACGTCCAATTGAATTATTATTGAGGTTTGTCAGAGGACGAGGTGTTGGGTGGAGTTGTTTTGCATTGTCGACTTATAGTTGAACAGTTTGGGGTGCAATTTGAATGGCTAGTTTAACACATTATTGATGAGAAAGTCCTTGGTGCCATGGTATACGCTATTGGACCCTAGTGCCATGTTCTTTCTTGTATTGGTTTTAAAATGACCTTGGCCACCTTGGCCAGGAAAGACACGGTTAAACGGTTAAACATATTCAATATGGACAAAGAAGTGAAAGGCTTGGGACATTTCATGACTTCCCTTTCCTTTTGCTTGGGCCTTTATACCGTATTGAGATCCTTTGAGTTTGATCACCTCGTTGCAACTGGTTTTGCAGACGTCCTTAATGGAAACGTGCACATGCCATTCGAGATCGCGCAAGAAACAGGATCATCGTTGTTATTGTCATCATGATCACCGTCATTCTCGTTCTCATTGCTTTGTCAAGCTGCACGCATGCAGGTGATTTGTTTGATTTTAACAGTGTGAATCATCAGGTGGGTAGACCAGGACCAACACCCTTTTTCTACCCTCAATGAAGCTGTGTTAATGCTTGTATTGGGACAGAGGCATGGGGGGTTGGGTGATGGGCGTTGAGATGCATGGAGGCCATGTTCGACTCACCACGAGGCCAGCCTGGCGAAGCGCTTGCGGAGCTCCATGGCTGTCTCAGTGGCGGAAGCCGCCCGGAAGCTCCAAGCAGGCCTGGCCTTTCGTCGCCCCCATACGCTGAGAAGACGAGTGTGGTCGGTACCATTACCTAAAAGCTTCGAACGGTCACGGATTTTGGGGTTCAATGTCCTACTAAGGGCACGCACCATTGTGGAATCTGTGGCTTGTTTTGTTTGTAATTATGATTTCCTCTAATCTTCACTTCGAGCAGTTCCGGGGACAGTCGGACATCCGTGTATATACGGCACATATGTTACGTAGCAAATGTAGGAGTGGGGAACATTCATTGACTCCTCCGATTTGGAGCGCCTTTTTCATCAGGAGACGCTCATGATGGTGTGAGCACCTTGATGGGCATTGTCGGTAAGAGACCTCCCAGCCACACGCGCAGTGTGGCCAGCGCCAGCAGCGATACAGAGGACCGGCCAGCTGATGAGTACGTCGAGTTTGATCAACTCTTTTGGCGAGCCGTTTTTTGCCTGGGTCGTTTTTCGGGTAAACACCCCAGCCCCTGAAGAAAGCAGTTGCCGGTTGACATAGATTTTGAGCATTGGAGGAAAAAGGAGCTTCCTGGTTTTATCTAAGTCACTAGTCCCTCTCCCACTCCGCAGGTGAGTGTTGTGATGTGTTGTGTATTTTGTGGAGATGCCAGATTATTATTGAAGCAAGTCGTGTGCACAGTGTCATGGCCAAAAGCCTACGTAGCGTGTGTTTAGTGCATACTATAGTGGTCCCCAAATTCATAGAAACGGTTCCCAATACTACATCTTTTGTAGGGATTTACTGTTCTATCTATTTAAATTATTTTGGGGTTTGTATACATAGATGCATAGATAGATAGATAGATAGATAGATGAGCAAACTCTATATTAAACTCTGAGTAGTGCCACGACGTGCTATAATTATTGATGCTGTGTTGGTTCTTGCTGCCGCTGGATGGGTGTGTTTCTACTCGATTTGCATCCTTAAAGCACTGAAACACAGAACACTTACTATTCAACACAATAGATTTGTAGTCATTTGAATTGGGTACTTAATGGTACATGGAGTGTTCAGGTATACCCAAACACCCGCAGTTTGCTCCAGCTCTGCAGGATGTGCCATCAATCTCCTCACGCGCCACGACCCGGAAGTCCTCACCGCAAAGGTCCAGGCCACGCTCGGCGCGAGAGGAGCTCTTGGAATGACCCAAGGCCTGAACTTCTACGCTCTGTGGCTTTGTGGGTTGATTCATGTCGATTCTCCCAATGTTTACATGATTGCATCATGTTACAGCTTGTGGTTATACAGTATCATACACGTCATTCCTGGTTGGTGTTGTGTTTGTCAGCTGTGTGGGGGAATGGTGTGTTGATCTTGTGCGCGACTGGCACGGGTCGGAGCTACGGGGTCGAAGCCGTTCTTTCGGACAGCCTCCAGTGGCAGAAGTTCACTCTTCCAAACACTTGGGTTTGAGCATTTGAGTTTCAACGACTTCAGCAATGTTTTTGTGTTGGAGTTCCTGCAGTTCAACATAGGTGGCCACATTCGCCCATTCATGCAGTGACCGACCTCCCTGTTTGACTTCATCCACCGGAACCAAACCATTTGTAGACATTATTCGAGTCCCAAGGAGTGCCTGGGGGAACTGATTCGGTCATTCCAAGGACTCGGATCTCAAAGGATCAGGTCCGGTCCGTGAGAACACCGCGCGCGGAATGAGCGAGACGAGCAGCGGAAAGAAAAGGACTCGGTCACGCAGCTGCAGGTGTTCAAGATGGAGACATAACAACAAGTTAGAATCAATCGAGATGAATAAACATATTCGTATTAATCAAATATAAAACAAAAGTTTTATGTAAATATGGACGTTTCTGCATCTAGAGACCATGTTGGAAGGGGATTTGGGATCGTGAATCCGTATGCTGTGGATTTGGGTAGCATCAACCTGCCAAAGATAAGAAACATGTTCATATCTATGTGAGGCCTCTGCAGAACAAACATGGCCGAGAGACATGATTTGACAACCGTTAGCAGAGATGCAGAGAAACATTCGCCTTCTAGAAATGTCATCACAACACATGAAATCAAATTCAGTCAATCCATGTTTTGGGGGAACGGCCCATTATTAACTCTGGCACATCAAAGAAGTTGGACCTGTTATATGTAGATATGTGCCCTCCACGTCAATGACCTCGTTAAACTTGTTCATTTAGAATTCGAACCTAGTTTTACTTGGTCCCGTTAAAGAGAAAAACAGTGCTCATGATCTCTCTCAGGTGGTTTGGAAGGGAATCAAAGGCAATTTTGAGTGGTTTTGAGGCTCATGATTCGACATTAAGAGCAAAAAGGAATGAATTGTGGGCAAATAATTTAGCGCAACAGGGGCGTAACAGTTCCGGAACAACCTCAGAGTTCTAAAAATGCCAATGATCCTCTAGAACCGTAACAGGAGCGTAACAGGTCCCTATGTAAGGAATCCTGACAACACAGTTTTTTTTGCAATTTTTGATAGTAGTATACTGTGCGCATAGATTTAAACGTTTGAAGCATTCTTGCAGGATCTATGTGCCATTAGCATGGTGATGTTGAACTTGCTTGGATCAAAGGGCTTGGTTTCCCACAACCAAAAGGTACGCGTTTAACTTGGTACTTCGGACTTGCAGGGGTGGAGTTGTTTTAATCAACTGCTTTATCCAGAAGGGATTTAGACAAATCAGTCCCCTCCATACATTCCATGAACTAGATTGCTGAGATCCGAGAGGTATGCCTGCAGGTTTGCTCCCCGGTCCCATTGCGTCCAAGGTCTGGCTTTTAGTGCACTTCTGCGCGGTCAGAGGCGTCAGAGGCGGACGTTTGTGCCTCTGTGTGAGTGATGTGGAAGTGGATTTATGTCACAGATGTGACAGATCTGGCTCACAAATCGGTCATTCATTAGGCCACGAATTGTTTCGAGTAGATAGATATGGATTAGTGGATCGACTAGTGGATCGAGGCAGATAGATATGGATTCGATATAGCAGAAGCCTTTTGGTTAACTTTGTGGATTTCATCCACTGGACTACGCGTGGAGTCCAGTGTTAACCTCCAAAAGCTTCAAACGTCCATTGTTGCTATCCCCCACCAATAGTGGCCATGGATATGGCACCCTGGAGGTAACAGGAGGTTGCACCTTCACCAAAATGTCAATGTTGCACCATGCTGCTGGACCTTTAGCCATGGTCAAGATGTGGCATGTGTTTCCAAGTTGGCAAACATGCCACGACGCACTCCCTGCAGCGACTCTGGCTCAGCCACGATCACGTTGATCGCAGTCCTCTTCGACTTTGATCGCATTCTTAACGCGGACCTGCCACTGTCATGGCGGCGGCGGCAGCGCGAAAACTGCAAAAAGAAGTCGAGGTTGTATTGAAGAAGGGTCTCATGGCTGAATTGCTCATTTTTCCCAAGAAGAGCATTCGCTAGGTCGCTCCTTTGGTGTGCTCTTCTCGTATAGACTCAGAACGTTCGCACGCGTGCGTGCTCAGGTCATGAAGGGACCGAGGAATTCGCGGAGCTATGGGACCAGATGGCTAGCGCACAAGGTCCTCAGAAGGAAGCTTGAATCAGTTAGTCAAGTTCGTCAAGCTGAATCAAGGTCCATGGAATTCTATGAATCCAGGTGCATGTTGAGGGCTTGTTGGTTTTTTGTAGCACTTGGAGATGTACAGTGTGTACGTTCTGCATTGTCCTGTTTCATGGTTCAAGGTTGCAGCTGGATACAACTGCAAAGAGATCGTTTCACGTTTTCTATGCGGATTGACTAACCTTTATCTACAGTTGGGGGTGAGTGGGATGGAGGTTTGTTGTGTTTTCTTTTTTGTGTGTGTGTGTTTGTTTGTTGTGGGTAGGAGGTTGCAGGGCCTGTTTTGTTGTTTTATTTCGGACAAATTATGCTCTTTGCTGAATCCTGCTAAGATCCAAAACCCCAAAACCTCAAAATCATTGAACTAGTAAGCCACCCTGTGGATTTTTTGAGTATAAGGGCTGCACCTGATGACACAGCACGCCACACCACTCCGCGACAATGCTGAGCTTGGTATGGGTTCATCACAAAATCACGGAACTTCAGCTCAGACGAGGCAGATGAACATGGCTTTGGATAAGAATGTTGTCAGAATACATGACTGACCTCAGCAGGGTTCCCATTGCAGATTTCCTCGAACCTTCATAAGTGACCTTCAGTCCAGCTTTCGACATGGCACCAAAACCCAAGGAGAGATTGGGCGAGGAGTTGACACTTGGCAGCGTGGACAGTGGATGCATACTGTTATGTGCACCACCTACACCTAAAGTCTCAGAATCATTGAACAAGAAAAAGTGGAGAATAAGGGCAGAAAAAAAAAGCAGAAAGCACCATTGCCTGGATAAGAAGTGCAATCAACAAGCCAAACAGAGAAAAAACAGCGACAGAGTCTAGGCATGGGTTGAACAACAGTGGAAAGTGAGTCTCCTTGACTGTTTTTTTGCCGGGAGGGTCTTCATAGAAGCACATACCCAGATGTAGAATGGGACTTTGGTCGTCATCGCAGCAAGTGTTTCTGGGTCCAATTGCAACAGCCCCTCGTTTTGGTAGGTTCAGAAGACCACTACGGTCAGGTTTTGGAGCACGCCGCACCATGCTGCACATGATGCACATGTAAACAAAGGAGGCGGCATGTGCCGTATGGCCGTATGGGTAACGGTATGCATATGTCGTGAAATTTTCCGCTGCTAGCACCGTTCCACTCAACATCGGGACCATGATGGACACAATGAACCTGTGGGAACCGTGAGCCCGTCCATTTCCAAGAAAAAAGCACATAGAATTAGTCATAGAATTTTGCCTTGCGATGCTTCGTTCGAATCCACCCCAAGCACCCCAAGAAAATATGTGGAGATGCGATGCCAGTCTGCTGGATCGGAGGTTTTGCCCACTTGGTTGAACCAGAGGCAAACACCTCCAGAAAAGCATAGAAACCTCCCGAGCCTGCTGTGACCGACCCAGGAAGAAGTGCATCAACAAGCTCCAGAGACTCCGATCGCAGATGCGAGACTGGTTGGGCTCCAATGCGGTTCCGACCAATCTCAAGGCGCAAACCACCGGTCACCGCAGTCACCGTTCGTTCTTGGCGTTTCTGCGGTGCAGAGATACTGTACGGGGATCTGCAGTGTGTTTCTTTGCTTTGCGGAAGGCAATGTTTGGAAGCTTTGGGGATGTGTTGGGTATTGTTCTTTGTTGCTTTTTGGAGGTATGGCCAGGGATAGTTGTACTATGTTGTGGTTACAATGCCACATGTCAGGAATCTTATGGAATCTTCATAAATCCACTTACCTATTTCCCCACCTGCCAGGTGAGGGTTGTTACTGTAGATTTTATCACAGCTGTTCTTCCTCCGCCTCCGCCTCCGCCTCCGCCTCCGCCTCCGCCTCCGCCGCCTCCTCGTCCTCCTCCTTCCTCCTTCCTCCTTGCTTCCTTCCTCGCCAATTTGCTTCGCCGATCTTGTTTGGCCAGCTCCGGATCGCAGTACCCCTGGACCTCAACCGCAAGGATCCCCTCGCAGTGTGCACCCCTGGACCTCAACCGCAAGGATCCGATCGCAGTGTGCATCCCTGGACCTCAACCGCAAGGATCCGATCGCAGTGTGCACC